GATAGAAGCGGGTGTCTTGCCCGCGCCTGGCACGCCGAACCACATGATGGACGCGTCATCGAGGCTGGCCCAAATCATTTTCAAGATCAGCAACAGCGAGGGCTCGAGCGCGGCAAGTGTCATGGGCCAATTGTGCAAAACTTTGGCCACAGATCCCTCGGTCGCGATGGTATTCAGAGCCTTCTTGATGGTACCGTGCGGCCAGTTGAAGATCGGAGAGGCCTCGTCCTGCGCCTCCATGTGAATCCAACGCGCCATGCCCAGCTGCCGTCGGTCGGACAAAACCTCCTGGGCCTTCGCCACGATGTAATCGAAACCTTCGTCAGTGTAAACCGTTTTCTCGCGCCCATGCCCGCCGTCCCGCTGAGGCTCTTCCAGATGGAAAGCCCTGATCTGGAAGCCCTGGAAGGAATCCCGCATTCCTTCTACGCAGCGTCCACTTGTGCGAGGGGGGGGGGCCGAGATTCTCCCAGCGCATTGCCACGGGCGTGCCCGTGCAAAGATTCGCGGCCACATTCTTGTCCACCCTGTCTGGGAAGCACAGGTGCTCGACGACAATGTGCTTGGAGTTTTCGCGACGTACCGCCAGGAGCGAAAACGACATCGGAGTCGCGCCCAACTCGCCCGTCAATCCGTGCGGCTCAGCGATGGCGGACGGCCTCCCCCCGCAAGGGATGTCTGACTAATCTCTCCGGCAGGGATGGCGCCGCCCACGGTGCCGACGTCCACCATGTGAGAGACGCTGGACGCTGGGCCGTTCATGTTCTTGAACACGTCAGTCAAAGCGATGTTGTGGCCCGTTCCAGCGTTGTGGCCGATTGCGACGGGCGCGTTCGTGCCCTTGTTGCACTTGGAAGCCCGCTGCTTGATATCGTCGATCCACTCTGCTGGGAACGCCATGGCAAACGAGCAGCAAATGACAGCGGTCAGCCTAGATAGTGACCGAGCGACTCTGCTTGGCACTAAATAGCCTACGGAAAAGAGTCGCTGATGACCGTGATTCAATCTGGTTCAATCGCTCTCTGCCAAGTGCATTCACATACACACTACAAGAGAATGGGCGATGACGCTGTTGGCTGCTCTGCGACAATCTACGGCGATCATACGAAAGACGCCAAGCGCACAGGCTTGAAAAACAACGTCTGCATGGCATTGCAAGCAGGGCATAGAGAGCTGGCGGAGAGACAGCGATAGAAGGCGACAAACTCGAACAGGAACGCGATGTGAATGGATGGACAAATTACAGGTTGTCAGCTCAAAAATGGACCATAGCAGAGAGCATTTTTTCAGAAGAATGCAAAACGCCCACCCCTATTCAAATTCCACGTGGCGAGCAGCGAAAATTAAGCGCACACCCTGCCTGCACAAGGGGGGCAAGCACTCGCGGCCCTAGCAATGTGGACCACATTCCGCGTTAGCACGCATTCCGCCTGCACAGGGGCACAACTAATCGCGGGCCCTAGCAATGTGGATCACATTCCGCGTTCCCACCCATGTCGCGCGCAGTCCTGATGCCCATGCCACCTTCCTCGCTTTCGTCATCGTCCATATCGCCAAGAAGCCCTGGCATCTCGTCACCATCGCCGAAGGCGCCGCTGTCCTCATCCCCCAACTCCGACGCAAGCTCGGTCAGCACGTCGTCGTCCTCGGGAACGTCTGTGCTCTCGTCACTGGCCCCCAAATCGAAGGACTCATCGGATTCTCCCTCGCTCTCCTCCTCTTCGCCCTCGCGCGTGTCGACGTCGTCGACGTCGTCGACGTCGTTGTCGGACTCGGCCCCCGACTCCCGCAGCACTGCGTGGGCCAGGAGATCAGCATCCTCCTCCTTGAGCGTGGCCACGCGCTCGGTCCAGCCTCCCTCCGCTGGAGGCATGAGCGGTCCGAGGATGTCCTCCTGCGAGAAAGGCCAGCGCACTCCAGTCCGCATCGTGTTCTGGAGGCATCTTATGCACACGTTGCAGTAGGGGTGCGGGAAGCCTTGCAGGATGTCAGAAAAAGAACATAAGCGTAGTGTAGACACGTAGAACCTGCGGCATCACTTGCGGGCCACCTATAAGACAACGCGCACTGCGCAATCAACTCACAACGGAATCGTTCGAGAGTAATTCTAAATCCTGGGTGCTTTTCAGATTGAAAGCTCGGCGCGTTGCGTTTGACCCGCGGCGCGCCGAGGCCAGGCATGCGACCGCAGACGGCGCAGCTCGCCATCTTGCGCGAGCGCAGGCGCGCACCTGCAGGGGCGCGGCGCTACCTTGAGCCTGACGGGCGAGGCGCGGCGTTTGCGCCTGCGCGTGCTTGGGGACGGCGAGGGCAGCGAGCGAGGGGCGAGAGTGACGACGACAGGATGAATGGAAGACAAGAGAGATGGCCATATCGATTTTTGCACCAGTGGCGCTCGCCCCCGGCCTGGCAGCCTCGCGCGCTCTCAGGCCTTGTTCGCCTTCCGCAGCTCGAGCTTGAGGCGCTTGTTCTCGCGCTCCAAGGAGCTGTTCTCTTTAAGGTAGTCATCGCGGCACTCCAGAAGCAAGTCCCTCTCCTGCTGCAGCTCCCCGTTCTCCTTCTGGAGCTGCTCGTTTGCCTCGCGGAGAAGGCGGCTCTCCAGGCGAAGCTCGCTCTGAGGAAAAGCGGCGGCCGTGAGCTTCTCGGCGAGGGTCTCGCTCTCCTCCCCCTGGCTCTGCTCCTCCTGGCTCTCCTCCTCCTGGCTCTGCTCCTCCTGCTTTTCCTCTGCGGTCTCGGAGTCGCTGCAGCCCTCGTCGCTGCTCTTGGCGCTGCTGCCCTTGTCCGCTTCCTGGTTCGGTTCCAGCGGCCCTGCAGCTTGAGGCGGGGCTGGCTCGTGGAATCCTGGCTGCTCTGCCTGTGGCTCTGGCGGCGCTGGTGGTTGAAGCGGTGCTGGCTGCTCTGCCTGTGGCTCTGGCGGCGCTGGCGGTTGAAGCGGCGCTGGCACAGCCAGCGAAGGCGGCGGCGGCAGGGGCACGAGTTCGCCCGTCCACCCCCTCCTCCTTTCCGTGAACCACCGCCGCATCTGTGACCGCCCCTTCTCCTTCCACTTGCCGCCCCTGAAGGCCTCGCCGCCATGGGCGTTCAGCGCATGCTGCACGTTCCCGCGCTGCACGCGGATGTCACGGTCTGTCGCAGTGGCCTTTGACACGTGGACAGGCCACTGCTCTCCGGCAGCCTTGTCGCGTATTTCCTGCACCGTGGGCGCAGGCAGGAGTAGCTCCACGCCCTGATGTGCTGCTGCGGGCGGTGCGCCGTTGCCAAGAGCGAACTGGAAGGTACCGGCCTGGCCGTCGAAGGTCAGCCTGCCATTGCATTGGACGCCGCCTTGCATCTTTGAAGTGGAATCGCGGTGCCGTAACAAGAATTTGGCACGTCTGCGCGTTGTACTTGAGCCTCGCGTGGCGACGCTGATGACGACGATGACGCTGGAAACTAAACGTGCGACGACATGCACTACGTCACGTTGGGAACAATGTTGTTGATTGCGCATGATATGGGATATATGTTAGGGCATGCCTTGGTCAATGCGGGGCCTTTGAGGTCCTGCGAGGCCCCCAAGAGGCCCAAACGAGGCCTCAAGAGGCTCGAACCACCGCCTGAGGATTTCAGCGCCGACCCAAGGTACCGTGCCTGGGTTGCGAGCATGCGGCATCTTGGATGTTCGTGGGGATCTCGTGCGGACCCCCTCGGGGGGCTCTTGGAAGTGCGGACCCTCTCGTGGGGATCTCGTGCGGACCCTCTCGGGGGGATCTCGTGCGGACCCTCTCGAGGAGGAGGAGGAGGAGGAGGAGGAGGAGCAGGAAAGTGCTGACAGGTCTGGAAAGAACAACACAAAACAACAACAAAAAACAAGCAAAAACCTGACAGGTCTAAAACAAAAATCAAGATTCAGGCGAAGAATCTTGGGCGGGCCTCCACGGGGCAGCATAAGTTTTGAAATCGCTTGATTTGTTATATATAAAAAGAAACTGACAACACTTGTTTGGGTGTTTGTTTTTTTGGTTTCTTTAGAACTGTTGATACTTTCGATACAGGTGATTCAATATGATTCAATATGATTGAATCGTTTCCCCGACACGAGAACAAAGCAGAGGAGGAGAGGAGAGGAGAGGATAGGAGGCAGGAGGAAGGAGAGAGGATAGGAGAGTGCACTTCATCAGTAGACACACCCCACGCAAGAGACACACCCCACGCAGCACGAAGGAGCGGGCCCACCTATTCCCCCTACCTCGCTAGAGGGACGACCACGGACTGGCCTCAGGAACAGCGGGCCCCTTCCGAACCCAAGGCGGTCCCGATTCCAGCGTCTTGACTGTCATCGGATCTCTGGCGGCCCCTCCCCCGGAACGCACACGCCGTGCGAGTATCTTGGGGGTGGCGCCGATGCGAGGGGGCTGCTGCTCATCGAGGGGGCGCCGTTGCCTCGAGGGCGCGGCGCCCCCGGAGCACTCCAGGGCCCCCCAGCAACTGCCCCGAGCGCCTCCTCCTCCTCCTCCTCCTCCTCCTCCACCTCCTCCTCCTCCTCCTCCTCGTCCTCCTCCTCCTCCCTTTCCTCCTCCTCCTCCTCCTCCTCCTCCTCCTCCTCCGAACACCTCCCCGAGCTCGGATCCTGGAAGTTCGTGTCCTCGGGAAGAGCTGGAATCCTCCCTGCCAGTGACACCCCTCGGCGCTGCCCGGGTCACAAGGGGTTTGGGGGGGCGGATAATCGTCGTCGTCGTCGCCGTCATCGTCGTCGTCATCGTCGTCGTCGTCGTTCTTGTCGTCGCCGTCGTCGTCGTCCTTTGCTTTCTGCGCCCTGCTCTCTGCTCCAAGGACTGGAGAGGGGAGGAGGGAGAGGAGGAAGGAGGAGGGATGAGGAATGAGGAGGAGTAGGAACTGCAGGAAGAGGAGAGAGGAGAGAGGAGGCGGAGGATGGTTAGAATCTGGAGGGGAGGAGGAGGAGGAGGAGGAGGAGGAGGAGGAGGAGGAAGAGGAACTGGAGGAGAGGGGCTGTGTTTGTTTTCCAGCTGTCCTCCCACTGCCGCGATAGCCAACTTTGACCCCTGGCCCGTCAGGATAGGGCGTCCCGCAATTCGGTCGCCCTTCGGTCGCACCAGGCCAACACCATGCATTCAGGCCGTCGAAAATCGGCATGTGTGCTCGAGCTGGATACGGCGAGCGCAAGCAAATCAAGTGCATAGAATACGCGGAGATCCCACCATCCCAACTGCCGTGCCCCCCTCCGTGTCAGAAGACTTCTTCTGCGCCCCCTCTGCTCCCCAATGTCCTCGCTTCTCCGCCTCTCCTCCACCCAACCTTCTGCTCCTCCTCCTCCTCCTCCTCCTCCTCCTCCTCCTCCTCCTCCTCCGTACTTCGGATCTGACGTACGTTGGTCGATTCTCGGACCTATAACTGTGTCGAAATGCACACCAAACGATGCGAAACAAGAATGTTTGTTTGTTTGTTGGTTTGTGTGTGTGTGGAAATTTCCGCCTCAACAGAAAGAGGGTGGATATTTCCGTGCAGACATGGCGGAAACAACAACGACGGCAAGTAGGCGAAAATATACATCAAAGTTGCTTGAAAAGTAGGCCGCCAACTTCCGCCCTACTTGCGAATTCGCCCGAAACACGTCGGACCCGAAGTCTAAGGGGGTGACATTTGGCCGTTTGAGGCCCCCGGCCCTCACCAGGCCCGGGGCCGTCGGACAACGGCCGGGGATGAGAACTCAGTCTCGGGTAAGGGGTCCAGACCCTCCTCCTCCTCCTCCTCCTCCTCCTCCTCCTCCTCGTCCTCGTCCTCCTCCTCCTCCTCCTCCTCTTCCTCCTCCTCCTCCTTCTCCTCCTCCTCCAGTGTAAAAAATCGCGAAGCCAGAGTTCTGAGAAGGATGGGCCACGCGTTGGTGACCCCCACCCCGCCCAAGGAGGCGTGCAACGTCCACTGCGGTATCCCCCCGCTACCCCTCGCCGACGAAGAGCAGGATCGCGAGGGTGCAGGTTACGATGGTGACCGGATCGGCGCCCGGCGATACCTGCAGGTGCGGCTTGCGGGAGCCCTGCGCCCCAAAATGTTGACGAGCCAGTCCCAGGGAACAGGCCCGGATCTCGTGGGGCCCCGGAGGGAGAAACGCGATATCCGCCGCCGGCCCCCTTGTTGGGCCACCAGGCTGCGAGGCTTGGGCTTGCTGCTCCCTGCTCCATTTCCAGTTTCCACTGTCCATTGTGTTAATGCTGCTTTCTGCTTCTTAACTGTAAATTGCTGCAGTCCGCGCGAGGGGGAGGAGCCCCCAACAGGCAATTTACCACGCGCGGATCGCGTTGCCCGAGTTCCCGGGAGGGCGTGGGATACGAACAAATACTTGCGATTCGCACCCTCGAGGCCAGAATGTCTCGTAAATTAAGCAAAGCTCGCATCGCCGAGGCCATTAACCTTTGCAAAGTATGCAATCCTTGCATCCCCGATGCCACAAACCTTTGTGAATTACACAATTATTGCGTCCCCGAGGCAACAAGCCCTTCATAGATTACGCAATATGCGTGCCCCCGAAGCCATAAACCTTACCAAATTACACCATACTCGCATTGCCGAGGCCAAGAATACTCCAAGGCGCCCGAAGATGGTTCCCAGACGGCCCAAGAAGGCCTGCACCAAGAGCGCTCCAAGAGGCCTCCCGAAAGAGCCCTAAGAGGCCAAAATCGCAAATGTTACTAAGATTTTTGAAGGATTTGGGCCTTCTCGCATTTTTGGCTTTCCGACGCTTCAAGACGGCTCCAGAAGCCCCAAGACAGCCCAAGACGCCTCCAAGAGGGCCCCAAGACGGTCCAAGAGGGCACCAAGATGGCCCAAGAAGCGCGCAAGACGGCCCAAGATGGCCCCAAGAGGGGCCCAAGCAGGGGACCACGAACCGACCATTCGATATTTGTGCCCCGAGAAGCTCCCAGGAGGCCCCAAGAGGCCGCCAAGAGGCCCCAAGAGGCCCTAAGCGGCGCCCAAGACGCGCCCAAGAAGCCTCCAATAGGTCCAAAAGATACCAAACGAGGCCCCAAGAGGCGCCCAAACCGCCTCCAAGAGGCCCCCGAGATGCTCCCCACGATACCCCAACACATATACAAGAGGCCTCAGATACACAACCCAGGCACGGTGGCGGGATGGCCGAAGGCCACGAGAATCCGCCGCCTCCTGTTGATTTATCACAGGGGTGCTCGGCGCGCTGGACTTCTTACGTTTTGGTTTTGGTTCTCCTTGTAAAAGAACTCTTCCACGGGGCTCCTGGAAGGGACCGCAAGGAGCGGAATTCGCCGAAAAAAGATTCCCCAAATGTTCCCCGAAGGGATTCTACAACAGCTGGGGGAACACATGACCCGACAGCTTGGCATAGCTCTTGCCACAGCGCTCGGCCACACGGGCGATTCCAGAAGGCAGAGGGCGGCGGTGATTCGCCGTGGGCGTCTTCGATCCGCCGCCGCCCAGTTGATTTATCACAGGGGTGCCTGGCGCGCTGGACTTCTTATGATTTGGAATTGGTTTTGGTTCTTTTCCTAAAAGAACTCTTCCCTGGGGCTCCGGCCCGTCCCGCAGGCCATCCGGAAAGGACCGCAAGGCGAGAAATTCGCCGAACAGCATTTCCCAAGACGGCCACGATGGCCCAAGATGGCCTCCAAGAGACCTCCAAGACGGCCAAGATGCCCTCCAAGACGGCCAATATGGCCCCAAGATGCCTCCAAGACGGCCCAAGATGCACCCAAGACGGTGTAAGATAGCCTCAAGATGGCCCACGACGGCCCAAGAGGCTCCAAGAGCCCAAGAGGCCTCCAAGACGGCCCAAGAGGCCCTCAAGAGGTTCTCCAGGAAGGCCCACAGAGGCTAACATTATTGATTTTCAATGTTTTTTGCGGATTTTGTCATTTGCGCCTTTTCGGCCTTCAGACGGCCCAAGACGGCCCAAGAGGCCCCCAAGGTCGCCCCAAGATCGCCTCATGGCCCCGTGACGGCCCAAGAGGCCCCCAAAACGGCCCCCCGAAAGCCCTAAGACGGCCCAAAAGGCCTCCAAGACGGCCAAGATGGTCTCCAAGGCGGCCCTGAAGCGCCCGAAGAGAGCCCCAAGTCGGTTCAGAGAGGCCCCCAAGACGGCTTCCGACGGCGTCAGACGGGCCAGGAACGCCCTAAGACGGCCAAAGAGGCCCCCAAGAAGCCCCAACAGGCCCCCAAGAGGCCCAAGGAGGCTCCCAAGAGGACTCCAAAAGGCTCCCGGGAAGCTCCGCAAAAGCCTCACAAGAGGCCTCCCAAGAGGTTCCCAAGAAGTCTCCTCCTCCTCGTCATCCTCTTCCTCTTCCTCCTCCTCCTCCTCCTCCTCCTCCTCCTCCTCTCTCATCCTGACCCTCCCCCCCTCCTCCTCCTCCTCCTCTTCCTCCCCCATCATCCTCATCCTCATCCTCATTCTCATCCTAGTTATCATCCTCCTCCTCCTCCTAATCATCATCCTCCTCCCTCTCCTGATCCTCCTCCTCTTGCTCCCCCAAGCGTTCCCCGAAGGCTTTCCAAACCGACTCGGGAACAACTGGCCCGATAGCTTGGCCAAGCTCAAGCCCAGCTGTCGGCCACATAGGTGCTTCCAAAATGGCAGGGGGCGGCGGTGATTCGCCGTAGGCGTGTTCGATAACGCCAACGTCTCAATATGCGCTGGTGACTCCTATCCGCCCCCGCATGATGTTCCCAGATGCGCCAAGGCAGCGCCGAGACGCACAGAGGCGACTCTGATACATCCCATTATGATAGAGAGGGGGCAAAGTCCTTACGGATCCGGCCGCTCCTGCCTTGCGGGTTGGGCCGTGCGAAACCTCTCTGGCAGAGTGTTTGGCACAGTCTTTAGCTCCATTCGCCAGTGCCTGGTCAAAAACCTCCCTGAAAGTCCCTCCGAGGGGGCCCCACTCTGCCGCTGGCCCCCCCCTCCTTCAAGGTCCAGAACAGCCGGGGGACGACCCAAGAGCGCCCCAAGCCGGCCCAAGAGAATGCCAAGCAATCCAAGAGAGCCTCCAGACGGCTCCAGATCGCTCCAAGACGCCCAAGATTGCCTCCAAACGGGCCAAAACGCCTCCAAGACGGCCCGAGAGGCCCCCAAGAGACAAAAATCATTATTTTCTCGATGGTGTTTGAATGATTTTCGCGTTCTCGCCATTTCGGCTTACCGACGCTCCAAAACGGCCCTATAAGCCCGCAAGATCGCCCCAGGACGGCCCAACAAGCCCCCAAGAGAGCTCCAAGACAGCGCAAGAGGGCCCCAAGACGGCCCAAGAGGCCCCCGGGACGGCCAAAGAGGGGCCCCAAAACGGCCCCAAGAGGGCGCCCAGAAGGGGAACCCGAGTGAACATTTCGAGCTTTCGGTCCCAAGACGGCCCAAGGAGGCTCTAAGAGGCCCCCAGGAGGCCCCCAAGAGGCCCCAAGAGAGCCCCAAGAGGCACCATGAGGGCCCCAAGAGGCTCCCAAGAACCCCCCCCCCCTAAACTCCCCCGCGGAGGCCTCCGAGAGCCCTCTCGAGAGACCCCAAGAAGCGTCCGTGAAGACTCCGACCCAAAACGCAAGCACGGAGGCGGGATGGGCCGACGGCCATTTGATAGCTGGCATACCAATGAACCACAAAACCGAACCACGAACCACAGAACCGAACCGACCGAGGGAGAACCGACGGAACCGGAACCCGTCAGAAACCAGAAGCGGTGGAACCGAACCGGGCCCGAACCGGGAACCGAACCGGGAACCGGTCGTGGAGGTGGACCCTCGGGAACTGCCCGATGCGAGCGCCCACTCTTGCGCTAGGTCCATCCCACCCGCTCCCAACTCCTCCCCTGCGCCCCCGAGTTCCCTCGTCCTGTTTTGCTGCATGTCCAGGGCCGAGCTGGGGACGGAAGGGCGGCGGAAAAAGCTCAAATCGCATTTTTTGACGGTTCGAAAATACGTTTTGGGCCTCCTTGTGGTTTTCGGAGCCTCCAAAGCTTCTCTGGAAAAGCTCAAATTCCCCCGAACCGAAACGAACCGAACGGAACCGGGGACATGCTGGCATACGCGCCGCGTTACGACCTTCGATGCTGCGCACCACTTCGACGAACTCCCAGGGAGCGGCCGGTGATGCGCCGCTGGCGTCCTCGATATCGGACGTCTGGGTGGTCTCGACCCATTCCCCGGGACGGGTTTTTCAAGATTCCCTACCTAGGCTCTGCCTAGAAGGGTTCTTACTGTGTTCTCTTAAAGGGCCGGGCAGTGGGAACCGGCCCGGGCGGTTCCCCCGGCATCCGCCCCGCGGTTCCCCCAGCTACGTCCCCTTAGCTTAGCGTTGCTTATCTCATCTTAGCTTAGCCTATTTAATCTTAGCTTAGCTTAGCTTCATCTTAGCTCAGGTTTATTTTAGCTTAACTTACCATCATGTTAGCTTCGCTGAGCTTTAGCATGGCAGAGCACAGCATAGCATATCATAGCGTAGCATAGCATAGCGCAGCACAACATATCATAGCATATCCCAGCATCGCGTAGCACAGCACAGCATACCATAGCATAGCATATCATAGCATAGCGCAGCACAGCACAACACAGCACAGCGCAGCATAGCATAGCATAGCATAGCATAGCACAGCGCAGCATGACATAGCATTTCATAGCATAGCATATCTTATCATATCATATCATAGCATAGCATAGCACATCGCATCATGACATACCATAGCTTAGCTTAGCATAGCATAGCATAGCGCAGCATGGCATATCATATCATAGCATAGCATAGCATAGCGCAGCGTAGCATGGCATGGCATGACATCGCATAGCATAGCAACTAATGCTGCTTTCCTAGGGGCTCCAACTTCTAGGTAGGGTCGCATTGGGGTAAGCTCGTCGCTTTTTGACGGTCCCGATGGGCCCTGTAAGGGTCCCCATGGGGCCGAACAAGGGAGCGAACAGAAACAAAAACTCCAGTGCTGCTTCTCTGGTGACGCGAGCATGTTTGGGGAGACATCGGATGTCTGGGCGGGGTCCTGGCTGCAC